CCAAGCAAATTCTTACATATGTAACACAAATTATACCCTTTTGCATATAGCCCATTTTAATTTTCAAATAATGAACTGAAATGGACCAACTCATTTAAATTTAGCCTAGAAGCAACTAAAAATCCAAAGGCATAACTAATATTTACATATTTCATTGTTTTATAATATTAAATTTTTATTTTTTGGTAAATTGATACTAGTTGTGCGGCCCTTTAAGAAAAATTTCCTGGATCGGTCACTGAACTAGGGGGACTAATGTCAATATATTAGATGATTTAGGGGGCCTAATAGCAGTTACAATGATTTGGGGGAATAAAAAAACTAAAGATTTGAGGAACTAATATCAATAAAAAACCTATATGTTAATGATTAAAATCAGGATAAGATGGAATGACAAAAAAGATTCAACAAGTGCTGGAATCAAATGAGATCAAAATTTAGCACAACTACCTAGACTCAGCAAAAAGAATGGATAAGGTTACCTGATAATCAACACAATGTCGAAGACGAAGTCTAACAGTGCATATGCTCAGGGAGAAAATAAGTCCAATAAACACAGATAATGGAATGATGTTACAAGAAGAACACTAATTTTCCATATGATTTGTGGATAAATCTGTTGATTCATTTTCATGTAGAAGCTGATGCATGACAATTCTTTTATCAAAAGCTCACTAAGTAGTAAGTATACACTCAGTTTCCACAAGTATCTAGATTCTAAAGTTTCTGTATCAGGCACCAACAGCTATCATCTAGAAACATGTCCTTAATGCTTCAATCATAGTCGAGAAGAGTCGAATCAAGATAAACAACGCTAGATGCTCTTTTCGAGTCATATTCAGATGATGGCGATTGGATATGCACATAATCATCTGAACCACAAAATTGTTCAAAGTAAAGTTTGATGAAATTAAGTTTTACATGATATCATTTAGATCTTGAGCTAATAGATGACCAGGAGAAACTATTAATATTAGCCTCCAAAACTGAGAATATAGGTCTATCAAAGTAAATTGAGAGTATGGCGGCAGTCAATCATGTCTCCATCTTGAGCTAACTAAATACTAGGAAGATCCCATCTCACTGTTGCTGTGGTCAATTCAATGAAATGTGAAAACTTGGACAGTAGTTCGGGGGGTGTGATATAAGAAATAATTGGTATGTCCGATATAATTGACATGAAACCGTGTCAATTAACCAAAGAACCTAGTATGCATAACAAAAACCCCGGATGAAATAAATTAAGGTGAAAAGATAACCCTAGATAAAGTAATAAGAAACGCTAAAGGTCCTGACTCCTGATGATACTCAAAAAGTTTTAGTCACTTAATCCCGTTCCGTTTTGATGCACCTTCATCACAATTGATGGAATATAAAACAAAATTTTGGTAGTACTGCATGAAGAAAGATACTTTAAAAAAAAAAATACTGCCATGAACTTTCTTTGTTTCATGTAATGTAAGTCATGGTAGTTTTCTAAAAGAAGAAAAACACAACGTTAAGTCCGTGGTAGTTCTGTGTATATTAAAAAAAAATTCTTAAGCTAATCCAAAATTCGCACTAGCCTCTTGAAATCTAACATTAATATAAACTAAGGAAGACTCAAACCTGAATACTGAAAATAGCCTATGTGGATGATTATTCAAATCTTCACTAATCCCATCAATAAAAGCAACATATTCAGCAACATCCGTTTCCCAAGCCTATGACAATTTACATAAAATCGAGAATTTCAAATAACAAGTGAAAATACCAAATACAAGATCCCTAACTAAAACTAACCAACATAAGGCAATTTTAATCCCATCGTTAATGTTTTTTACCTACGTTACCGCACCAATCATATTTATCGAAGAAAATTATACTCAATAGAAGAGAATAGTCCACAATCTCAATTATTCACAAAAAGCCATCGACCAAAAGCCATCAATTGTCGCTATGAAGAACTAAACATTTCATAAACCAAATACTGACAAATTCAAGGCGAGGAACAGCAAAAGGGATGCAAAATAAAAGAAAAGACTCACCTTTTGACCATCAAATCTTGCCAACAGAGAAACAAGAGCTAGATTTCTCCCCTACAAAGAGGAGTACAAACTCAAGGCCACATAAAGTCCCTGCAAAATTGAGAAAAAAATCAAGTATGACCGTGCAAAATTAAAATATGAAAAGCAATGCAAAAAGTTAGAGAAAAATCCCACCTGGGCTCGGGAAGGAGGCGGAGTGGGCAAATGGGTCAAGAAACGGAGCAGCGTAAGGGGGAGGGCGATGGCGAAATTTGCAAAAACGTCCATTTCACGGTTGACCCCTGAGAGCGAAGGAGAGCAAGTGGGAAAGCGAGCGAGAGAATAATAAGGAACCAGAACAGCAGAGTCTCGTCCGTGGCCATGATTAACTAATAAATATTAAATAGAGAAATGGGCTCCACAGGCCAGAGTGGGGGTTTTGCTGGGTCTGTGTCTATGCTTGTCTTATGAATGAGGAATTGACTAACCTTTTGATGTTTGATTGATTAGCATAGGAAATTAATTTGGACCTATTCCGACAGCAAGTTCATCTTCTCCTTTTTTTTTTAATTTATATAAGAATAATCTAATTAGGTTATTTTATGTTCACATTTGATTTATTAATATACGATGATGATTGTGATTTGTCCAATTGTTATAGCTATTCTAGTGCTAATAAGAAATTTCCAATTAAGAGCAGATAAGTGTCTCATATTATGTGTAATCAAGTCAGCTCCTCACTTCAAGATAACCCAAACCCCAACCCGGACGACTCGACGTGCCGACATCTCGCGAGGATGACTCGAAAGACGCTGCATGTCGACCCGAGCCTTGGTTGTCTCCCTTATCGACCTCCCCGCTCGACTATTAGGACGACATCCTGCGAAGGCGACTCGAAAGGCGGTACTTGTCGACATCTAGACGAGTAGGAAGGCGACAAAGTACCACGAGCTAGGAGCCCATTTCCACACGCTAACAGCTGATCACCTCGTATTAAATGCCATTAAATGCATGATGGCCATCATACCTCTGCCCCCAACAGTCTTTAAGGCACATCGGACCACGTTGGCACCGCACACCCCCAGTCACTTCACATTAAATACTGAAGTGACCTCTCCTCCACTCGTCAGCCGACACTTGTAAAGCAGAAGCTAACTTGGCCGCCAGCTCACACTCGGCCGAAGTTACTATTCTACCATTCTATCACCACTATAAGTAGGAGTATTATTTTCAAAAAGGGGTAAGTTCTTGACTACTACTCACTATGCTTAAGAACTACAACAGTTCATTTTTACTCCTCCACTCAAGTAAATCACTGACTTGATCATCGGAGAAACAACCGGGGAACCCAACCCCCGACCTCTTACGATTTGCTACTTGTGCAGGGAAGAACAACTTACTCAAGAACCAGACATTCGGGAGGTTAGAGGACCTTCGATAACCACTCCTTCCATTTGACTATTTGATTTCAGACATCAACACCCATTAAATGTAAAATAAGAATGAGTGCAAATCGTGATAAGTGTTATATATTCGAAATGAATTACAATTCCAATAGTCCATTAAACAATCAATTGTTTAAATCATTGCGATGTTCTCTTCACTATTTTTCTCAATAGTGGAGAGGATCGAAGTTCATTTTTAGACTTTGTCCAGACAACTTTCGGATATCTCATCACTTCTACAAGGGGAGGAAAAAGGGGAGATATTATTACTTTTAATCATCTACCTTATTAAAGAGACTTATAGCATGTTTGGCAAATTTGGATTATAATCTAATAATCTATTAAGCTCATAGTCAACAATTGTATTATAAGTGAAATGGATTATAAACCAAAATATGTAGAAAATTTAGTGGATTATAATTTATTTTTAGTAAAATAATGTTTGTCAAATGGGTGGCTTATAAGCCACCATTGTCAAAATGTCCAAAAAAATATTAATAGAAATGGAGAGAGATAAATGGGTTTGAAATTTTATGAAATGATGAAGGAAATATTAATCTTTTACTTGGTCAAATTTTATGGCATATAAGCCACCAAAAATTAAGCTATCTACCCTATATTATTTTCTGATGGCTTATAAGCCAAAATAAGCCATTTCCAATCATGTCAAGTAGGCTTATAAGCCACAAAATTGACTTAAAAGTCATTTTGACCACTTGCCAAACATGGATCTTACAATGTGTTGATGTCAGTATTTAACAGGGGGTTTATTTGTGGATTATGAGGGGTGTTAGGGTCCTCAAGCTTCCTCAGACAGTTAATTCTTGAGTAAGAAGCCCTGTCTTGCTCATAAAGAATTCATAAGAGGTCGGAGTTAGAATCTCTGATGGTTCCTCTGACGATCAAGTTAGTTCATAGCTTGAGTGGAGAAGTAAGAGTTAAGTGTTTGGTTTTTTAGTAAGAGAATTGCTTACCCTAGATAAAATTTTCTTTTGTAGCAGATTAGAAGGGTAGATAGGTAACTTTAGCCTAGTCAAGCTGGCAGCTCAGACATCATCTGCTTTATAGGAGTCAGCCGCAGAGGGGTTTGAGTCACCCATGTGTTTAATGTGAGGGTAACAGAATGTGCATAGTATTGATGAGGACCGATGAGTCATAAAGACCTTTGGGGTTAAAGCAATAATGATTATGATCATGTATTTAAGGTGATGGAAGTTGACTGTCAGCAGTGGGCTCAAGGATACACCTGTAGGCAAATAAAATTGCCTTTAATCCAAAAATTAGGAGTTCGCTTGCGCGACTCCGTCTGAGCGTTTAAAGCTCGCAAGAACAAAGCCTATTTGGCATGTTCGCTTGCATCAAACAGGCCAAGTCAAGCTTGCCTGAATGCTTCGCTCGCCCGGACGAGTCAAGCTCTCCTGTAGATGTTCGCTCGCACGAACCAAGTTCGCCAACAGGGTTTAAGCTTGCCTGAACGCTTAAGGGGTTCGCCTGATAACCTCGCATGTTCACCTAGCTCACCTGAGCGTTTAACTAGCTCGCAAGCTCGTCTAGTTCATCTCCTAGCTAGCCTGAGCAGTTAAAACCACTTACTTGAATTGTGGGAGTGGTTATGGCCACTTCCCACGATTTAAGGGATCGATTATGATCCCTCTTAGCTATAAATAGCATTTGACGGCTATAGAGAAGGAGGAGAAAATTTGAGATTAAAAATCTTGGATTTTTGGCTCTTGGCATTGATTTGGAGATCTAACTCTCGGCTCTTTACAAATTCTTGCATTTTGACTTTTTGAGATCTGAATCTCTTTGGCAATTGGTCTTTTGGGTGATTGTAGGTTGTCTAAAAATCACTGTAGATACCTGATCCCCCATCAAACACTGATGATGGAAGTTACAATCTGACGACTTTCAAAAGGCTATAATTTGAAGATTTTCAAGTAGATCGATGAAGGTTACGATCTGACGACCTTCACAACAACCAATGAAAGCTCTAGTTCAACAGCCTTCACAATCAACATCGGGAGTTATAATCTGACGACCCTCGTATTTTCAAGGAGCCAAGATGAAGATTATAAGATGACGGTATTTGCAATGCTCCAGCAAAAGAGACCACAAATTGATGGTCTCTTCACATCAAAACGCAGAGGTCATCCCTGCGTTACACCATCAAAACGTAGAGGTCATCCCTGTGTTACTACATCAAAATGCAAAGGTCATCCCTGTGTTATAACATCAAAACACAGAGGTCATGCCCATGTTTCAGAGTCAAAACGCAGAGGTCATCCCCAACGCTCCAATTAAAAACGCAGAGTTCGTGGACTCAAAACGCAAAGTTTATCTCTGCATCCCAATTTTGTGTTTCAAATTTACAACGCAGCACAACTTGTGTGTCCAGCCACCAAAATAGGCCCAACTCTACGTTTTAAGTCTAAAACGCAGAGTTCGGGCCCTGAACACTATTTTTTAGCGTTTGACTCGTTTAAATCATGAACTAAACGGTTTAAAAATTATTTTCCCCAACGATTTGGGGAGCTATTTAAGGGGGCGATTACACCCCCATTCAGCCCTACTTAGAAGCGAGTTAAGGGGGGGCGGTTATACCCCTTAACCCCCTATAAATAGCGAGAAACTCAATTGAGTTCGGGCTCTCGGATTGATCCTTGGATCCTTCGGTCCTCCATCCTTCGGCCTTCGACTTGGCAGCGAAGAAGAGATCTTTGGTTGGCTTTAGGGGAAATTGCTAGAGCCTTGGAGATCGACAGCAGAAACTTTCTTCACACTTGGCTTACAAACCGATTTTCGGTTAAATCAATCAACTCTTCCATAGAGTTATAACTCACTCAGAGTTCCCTAACTCATTAAGAGTTTCAAACTTGCTTTGTAAGTTCTCCACAACGTCAAATCGTGAGGAGGAGATATCGTTCTAGTGAATCAAGATGTTCGGATCATCAACAGAGAGCAAATTCGACGCGAGCATTCGAAGGAGGCACTCCATCGCCACCGTGAAGAACCCAGAATTAAACGAAGGGGAGGATCTGCGTCGATTCTCTTCTCTTTTGTAATCAGAAAATTTGAGTTGTAATTAAATTAGAGAGAGTTGTAAATATTCTTTTTCTAAGCAGCTAGAGAGAATAAAATCAAACACAATTCCTTTATCATTTTCATTACTACAAATTTTCCACCAAACAGTGATAAAAGAATCGATCTTTGCCTATTTTGAGCATTCGGTCTTGATTTCAAGCTCAGGTATTCGAACTCAATCAACAGAACTTCTACCACGTGCTGAAGTTTATTCGCAATCTCGATCAAATCATCCAATGGAAGCAATCTCGATGCAATCATTCGAAGGAGGCATCCTATCGCTACCAAAGAACACACGTTAAACAAGAAGAGATCAAATTAACTCTCTTCGCTTCTGTATAAAAGTGATTCTGATTTGTAATAAACATTTTTTATTAATACAAATTTGAGATTACATTGTACAACAAACAAAAGATGGCGACCATAGTGGGAGAAACCATTACTTCCAACGAAATGGTGGTAGCACAATTCGATGAAATTACGACGGGGACGACTGTTGAGTCCATCGTAATTGAGTTCGACCAGGTTAAGTACGAGGAGTACTTATCCTTAGCTTCTTCTAGCAGCAAAGCATCTCACAAATGTCTCAAAGTTGTGCGTGTGGTCTAGCCCCAAGCGGCTAAGGCCACCGTGCCTGAAAGCTCTACCCTAGCAAACATTGGGGGATCTACCTCCCCCAAGCCAATTGAGGCCGATTAAAAGGTCAAGAATGCAAGCCCAGGGGCTACTCAATGTCTTGTTAAGCAATCCACACAAACCCCTGTTCTTGAGGAGACAACGGCTTGTGTTGGCACGGACCGCGCCTTCACCGTCAACATG